TGCACAGAATGTGGTTGTTCTTTGTGTGCAGGGTGAAGGAGAAAGTTGAGCTGAAGAACCAGCAGATGACCAACTTGTTGCCCAACAACAACGTAACGACCAACAAAGATCCAGCAACTGTCTAACCTCTTCCTGAGACCAAAGTATTTATTTATGTTGTTTAACAGTGAATAAATCTGCTCATATGTTTCTTTGTTAAGCCTTGGGGTCGAGTGATGTTGGGTGTTATATTAATATGTGAGTATTTTTATTAAGAGTCAATGGACTAGGGTCAGAATTATTATATTGTAAGAATTATTACAGAACTGCATTATTAAATTATTAAAGAATTTTCTTTTAACACAACTCAAGACTCAGTGTTTTCATAAAGAAAGAGGCCATGCAAAAGACATTTGTCCTGACTTAAATCCTGGAGAGTTCAGTTGTGTGTTTTACATAGTGCAACTAAACCAACTCATATTGTTTTAATTAGAAAAAGTCAGTCAATAACACTCGCAAACACAGTCTGGTTGCATGCTGCACTCAACAGTTGGAGGTGTGGAGCCTGTTGTGTGCAACTCCTCATCTAACAGTTCACTGTGGCTGCTCCTTTTCGTCCTGTTTGTGTTTTGTGTGACTGCATCACAATAAAATCCACCACGTTTCGTCAGATGAGTGCTTTTAATGTGAAGCAGCAGGCTCCCTGGGAATCCTACGTAGGCAATCTGAATCCCATGCCATATTGAATGGCAATTGAAATTGAAAGCTTGGGGTGAGAGAGAGAGAGGGCCATATGGATTCGAAGTCCTAATGGTACACAGTCTACCAGGTGAGCCACTGAAGCGCCCGCAGATTCCTTCATCTATATGTATTATTTATCTATTAATATTTTCCAATATGTACTTGTATATGTTATAGATACAGAACAAGTAGGAACATTTTCCAGATCATTTCAGGTCTTATTTTGAAACAGATTCCCTCATACAGGTCTCAGCCTTCAACCTTCATCTTCCAAAGCAGTTCTACAGAGCATATTTAAAATCTGTTTTATTATCTTTTTCTCATGGCATATTATATTTATTTTAACATTGGGTCATTTGGGCTTTTCTCTCTTCTCCCAGCACAATATTTCAATATTTTTGTATGCCATTTATTTGCTCTCTTAATTTTTTTAAATCTCTTTTTATTCAGAATGATATTCACATGTCACATCATTACAGCATCTCTTATTACATTTTCCTGCATACCTATTAAACATTAAACTGAAACCCACACCTGTGGCCAATTAAACAAAGAAAAGAAAGGGGAAAAAAAGAACAACTACCCACTTCACTCATATATATTCATCTGTATACCACTCTCCATTTTCCCCCCTGTATACATGTAGACAAATACTTGTTTACCTTCCATACCTTTTCAGTCTCTTTGTTAATCAAAATATTAAAAATTCATAACAATCATAATACTAATAATATATAAACTAATAATAAAGAATATTACAATAACATTAATTAAATAAACAAATAAGCAATTTAGTAAAGAGGGAAATAATAGTTACAAAATTAAGTATTTATAATAATAATTATAATAACAACAACAATAGTAATAAAATGATGAAAAAAAATAATTAATTAAAAAATAATTAATATCAAATAAAATAAAAAGGGGGAAAGAAAATTTTATTCATCTTATACATGAATAAACCATAATCACAGGAAATAACATCCTTTGTGACTGTTACTATAGCTGAGTAAATTGTGATAAACCAAAGGAAAAACAAGTTTTTGTCCTCCCATAGAATTTATTTTAAATTAGACAGTGGATAACACCATGATAACAATGGTTCCATGCACTTTCATTCAGCAACTTCATGACTACAACTTTAACAATGTAGGCAGAGATACCACAAAGCACACAAATTCTACAAAGGTTTTAGTAGAGATGGAGCCAGGTGGACTCTCCACACTTGGATAGCCAAGGTACCCAAAGTGTGCCAAAGGGGTTTTTTCCTTTTGAAAGGGAATTTGGCAACTAAATACTAATGATTTCCACTACAGGAGGCTATGTGCACACAATACAACCCTTAGCCACTTCATTTACACTGTGCATCATCAGATTCTACCATTGTTCACAACCATTGTGTGTAAAAAAAAACCAACTATAATTCTGTCTCCATTTTGCCTCTGAATCTCTTCCAGGTCATCTAAATTGCTATATTATGTTGATTCTACATCGTAGACAAAATAAACATAAAACTTACTATATACAAAGTTCAAACTACAGTAAAAGTTGAATCGGCCGTGCGTCATGCGTAAAATCTCAACTGTAGTGAAACTCTCTTGTACTTACGCACGGGGGTAGTATCGCGAGGAAGCAAGTTTCATAGGAGTGTGACATACCGTTCGAAACCTCGCGAGATGTAGAAAACGATAGCGCTGTGTTTTTACACAGCAGTACCACAAAACGCACGCTAGATGGCAACAAAAGACCGTATGAGATTCAGGCTTGGGGCTCAGTCTCTGCTATCCAGGCCCCCATCTCGGCCAACTTGTCTGGAAAATCGTATGGATAGACTTAAAATGACCATGAAAGGCTAAGAAAACAATATTCGTTGCTTTTGATTAGAACTGCTTTGAGATATGATGGAATATTTAGTCATAAATGCAAAATGTGACATGTGGACTGTAAAATGAGACGTTTGGCCCCTTGTTTGCTTTTGGGCTGACAAGGGCTGGTCAGCTCAGGCTACACTGTGCTTGCTATCAATGGAAAGAGTAAAGGGTAGCTTCCTTTCATTTCGACTGTCCGTTTACATTGATAGGGGTCTTATTTTGAAACAGAGATAGTGAAATATTCTTTGGACTAGATACACTTGGACTGTAGTTTTGAAATTATGAGTTATAAAAAACATAAGAACAAATATGTATATATGTGTATATATTCATAAAATGCTGCCTTTATAACTCGGCTTGACCTGAGCCTTTCCACCGCATTATTGCTTCTTAATAAAAGTATCCATATCAGCGCATATCAGAGAATATATGAGCCAATACCGATATATCTGTGATAGGCCAATATCGCCCAATAAAATCAGCCGACCGATAACTCGGGTAGGGCTCTACTTAATACCTCCAGTGCATAATCGTGGCCCAGAAATACTCTCCTCCCCTTGTACATGAAGCCTTTAGCTCTGAAACTTAAGAGTTTCATGACTATAGATCTCGGTGATGAATCTCTCAGGGGACATGAAACCAGAACGCAATGCACTCTTTCAGTCCTAAATTCAAATGACGAAGGCAGTTCCAGTTTCTCCCTGTTGAGATTCTCAACAAAAATAATCACTGACTCCGTGTTTTCCTCCGTTCCTTCTTTCACCCTGTGAATCCTGTTGTTCTCCCTTCTTGAGCATCCTTCCTGGTCCGTCATTCTGGTTTCAAACTGCTTTTGAACCAACAAAAGCTCCAAAGTTGCGTCCACCACGTTTTGGTTACATTCCTCGGCTTCCTCAATCCATTTCTCAGCTTCATCTATTATACTGTTTGCCTTACTGATATCATCCTAAAGTTCCTTGAGGGCTTCTGAATTTTTGTGGCAAAAGTCCCATAGCTCCAATGGATTGTTTCCAAGTCTGCCATGATTTCGGCAGTCTGTTCACCTTCCTTACTTGGGTCACTCTGGCTCGTCCCTCCCACTGACTCAGCTGTCTCCTTGTTTAGCTTAGTCGGTATGCCAGTTTGCGTAGATGGCTCTCCCGCTAATTCAGCTAGCTTTGTTGCTATCTTAGTTTGAGCTGAGTCTTCCTCGGTATCTAACTTCACTTTTCCCGACAGTTTCCTTTCTCTTCCTCTAGTCATAATCAAACATCCTTTTAGATAAAATTTAACATTGTCTCTCACGTTATAAACTCTCTGTTATACAGGGCTTTTTAATCTCGACGTCTGGGATCTCACTTTTTACACTGTTGCCATGTTACCATGCTAGTTTTGTTATTGCTACATAGCCAACGTTAGCATTAGCAACTGTTTTCGTACCCGTGTAGACAAAGCAATGTGAGTTCAGTGTCAAACTTTATTCCTTTTCTTGCCAAGAGGAGTATCCAGCGTTGGAAAGCACTACCAGTGTTGATTCTTGTTTTGCTTGTGTTGTGTGTCTATCACTTCTTTTCTTCTACTGAAGTTAGCATGCTAACTAGCTAGCTCCAGCTCAGTCAGCCCTTCTTGTCACTTTCCTGTTGCACCATAGTAGCATCCAGTCTGCGAAGTCTACAGCTGCGCAGGTGGCGTAATATGACCTCTTGTCTTGTAAATGCAAAATGGCTGAAGCTCTTACCAAACTGGTAGCTAAACAGCCGTTAATACTAACGTTGGCTATGTAGCAATAGCATAACTTAGCAAAATCTGTGCAAATAAATAAGACACAGACATACAGCATGGGGGATTTTGCGAAAGTCACAGACGAGGACAGATAACATATAGAGAAGATAAGCTCGATAACGAAAAAAATGGCGCTCAAAATCATAACAATTCTGACAAAATGGCCAAAGTTTACTGAGCTGTCGAATAACTATGTAACTCACTATTTAATGTACAATTACTTAAATTCACCATTTTAAATTTGCTTAATCCTCCTGCGTAAATATAATATTTATTGCATATGATTCTGATTTAATACATTTATATTTGTAATAAATAAAAATAAAAATTAGACCATCCTTGTACTATGCTGTTTACCATACAGGGCCATTTTTGATGCAGCCTCTAGGAGTCATAAAAGGCCGACATTTTCAAGTGTTATCCACTTTTGACTTTTCAGCATTCAAAAACATCTTTGTCCTGTGACACCATCATGATGCGTAACTTAAACCTGAGAATTTGTTTTGGCTTCAGTTCAGGTTCATTCAATGATTGCATAATTCTTCTGCCATTCTCTGTTTAACTAAACAGTAACATGTTGTTTCCACTGCAGCTTTAACCATTTTTGACGGGTTTTTTTTGGACTTTAGCTCAAAGATCACCCTGGTTAGTGAGGTGCACTGTGAAGTCTGTCAAAATCTTTAAAGCAGATCCCTAGCCTTTTCCTCTAGGCTACAATGCACTGAGAACAAAACTTCATCCATAGTGTAAAACCTTAGATACCAAAAAAAATTTAAGTCTTGGATCTCAGCGATAATGACAACCTTTGATGACCTCCTGGAGGAGGCTGGGACTTTTGGCCAGTGTCAGAGGCGTATCTTTGCCCTGCTCTGTCTGCTGTCATTGCCTTTTGCAGGTGTGTACGTCGGCATCGTCTTCCAGGGTTTCACCCCGGATCACTGGTGTCGGGACTCTGCGGTGGTGGAGAGGAGGCAGGCGTGCGGCTGGAGCCTGGAAGACAGTCGCAGGCTGACGGTGCCTCTGGTCAACAGCTCTGGGGTGCTGCAGCAGAGCAGCTGTGAGCAGTACAAGGTGGACTGGAACAGCACAGGACTCACCTGTGACACCCAGGAACTGGACCTCAGTGGAGTCCCAGTCTCTATGTGCAAGGTGAGATCTTAGATATTAGTTGCTCTTGGATTATTTGGTTCTGCAGTAAAAATGTCTCAAACTCAAATTGCCTTGAGTCTTAATTTGTGTGTGTTCAAGGACAGATTCAAATACCATACACAGTACTGTCCAAAATTTAAGGCACTTTATTACATTACAGTGACCCCAAACATTTATCCATAGTTAAAAATCTTTTAAGGTTTTGTTTTTCTCTCCATTTCTTTCAAAGTAATGTCTGCACCTGTGACCCTGAGGTTGTAAAAGTGCTCTTTTAAATATAACTAAAAATTTCAATGCAAAAAAAAAAAAACAGAGCACTTTCATGGCACTTTCTCAGCCTTGTGGACAGTGGTGTGCACAGATTCCTAAGAGTTTAAGGGCAGAAATTAACAGTGGGCCCCTCTTTGGTTTAAGGTTCATTTTTAAGCCAAAGTCACACCAGGGAAGGAGAATTACTTCTAATTAGTTGGTTTCCTTTTTAATTCTGATGTGTTTTGATGATAACATTTTAGAGTAAGAGTAACATTACTATCTGTATTAAAAGCAATGTTTTATTTTTGTCTTTAAGGACGGCTGGGAGTATCAGAATGAAGGGAGGAAGTCCTTTGTCACAGAGGTGAGAAAAGAAATTTGACGCATTTGTTCTTCAGAGTAGGACTGATTTCATTCATTACAAACCTGAAACAACATAATCCACTCAATATTCTAAATAATGCTTCTCAATTAAATCAAATAATCAAGTTGTGCAATGTAATATGTATTTTATTGTACAAAAATAAGGATATCCTGTATGTAGACATATGTAGCCTTCTTCCTTTTGGTCTCAGTTTGACCTGGTGTGTTCAGATGGATGGTTGGTCGACATGTACCAGTCCACTCTCAACGTGGGCTTCCTCGCCGGCAGCTTTGCCTTCGGCTACCTTGCCGACAGGTGAGGTCTTACACTGGCTTATAATCAGCTATGTAATTCATCAGAACTGCTTATTGGTTAAACACCTTCAGAAGCCCCCTTCTCCCACACCTGTTCGACATCAGATTAGATCCAACATTTGCACCCACCTCACGTCATCATCAGTCAGCTCAGCAGAGAGGAAGCCAACACTATGAATGTCTTCCAGAAGAGTTATCCCCGAATTGAAATGATCTTTTTCCCCACTTTCAGTGTGGACATTCGGAATAACTATTAACACTTTTGATTTCTGACGTGGTCGGGCAACACGTCATGCAAACTAGTTGTTTTTGAAAGTAACCCCAACTCTTAGCCAAATACACCTTCATCAGGCTATAGCAGTACTTTGGAGAGAGATAAACCTCAGTCACTGACTGTCAGTTTGTTAGAACAGAAGGTGACAAATTATTTTTAGCTATTAGGATTTTAACTATTAATAAATGGCATTTCCAAAAATACCAAGTTTTATCTGTTATGTAAAATTTACAATAATGCATCTGGTCAGATATTCTGTATCCTTGGTTTTAAAAAGGTCCACATTTGTCTAGTTAATTGTTCTAGTTCTTTGTAAACCTCACCTAATTTAACCAACACAATCAGTGATACCTTCAAAAATGTTTGCCAAAAATACAATAAAAGATCTAAAGCTTACTCTTTATACTTGTCTCAACCCTCTCTTATTTTGAAAGGAATCACCTCTTGCTGCTTGTTTTTCCATCTGTCTGCAGGTTTGGCAGGAAGATCAGTTTCCTGATGTCATTCATACTGAATGCGATCTCTGGGTTTGCGCTGGCTGTGGCTCCAAACTACATCTCCCTCCTGGTGTTCAGGACCATCTTTGGCTTCGGAGTCAAAGGAGGCTGGATGACTTCCTACATGCTGCGTAATGATGATTTCAGTGTTTGACGTAGAATTTTTTCATCTCACTAATTATATATTCATTAACTACCTACAGTAGCTAAATCAGATAAACATTATAAACAGACTGCTGTTATATGTGCAAGTTATAACTTATATATATATATAAGTTTCAGTTAGAGGGATAGTTGCATGGTCAAAGATTTATGGTTCTCACAATTCACCTTCAACCTCATACTCAAACACTCCAAGGGTTGACTCTGACCTACATCAAACTAATAGTTAAGTTACGTCTAAATTCTTTTGTCGCACAAAGCTGTCCAGTTATTGACTATGTTATGTAGGATTTCTTTGCCAGTATTTCTGTGTGAATTATGACTTTTTTAACTAAAAACCTGGCTGACCAAGCAAGCATGCTAAATTTGCTCAGCTGGAAACATTTGCGTTCAGGAAAAGCTGAACAGTTAAAAGGAAATTTTGATGAAAAATTCAGCCAAGAGTGTGAAAATACAGAAACAAACTGTAACAGATAATCTCAGCTCAGTCTAGACCTGTAGCAGAGCTGAGACACTCTGTCTTCCTCTGCTAATTCATCAGTAGGACTCAGGATAGTTTCCATGGACAAATGAGAACAACAGACCATGTCTTCACTGCTGTATATTTACAACCTGTTACTGTGGTCTCTAAAACCTCTTTCCCTGCTCTTTGCTCGTTCCACAACTTTGTTAGAGAACCACAGATTATGATTTGCTGTTATTGCCGCAGGTCAGCAGGTGTCACTGACTGGCTGGGTTCAGAGGGAGCCTGGGGGGTAGGCTGCCCAGCGGTCAGTCAGTCTTTATTTTTATGAAAGCATCTGACTTGCATTTGACTGCAAATGAAGACTGGCGTCACAATGCAGATCAGTCGAGAAAATCTCTGTCAAACTGGCCACATGTTTTAATCAAACTTCACTTGGTGCATGTGAATAAATATATGAATAACCGCCTGAAAAATGATTGTTTAGTGGACAATTTACAGATAGGTTCAACTACCACATACAGTAACAAAATTAGTCATTTCTTCATGTCCCTCTTGCAGCAGTCTCACTTCGTTCATTTTGTTCTAGTGAAATACACTTTCTCTCAGTGACAGAGATAGTTGGAGTGGAGTACAGACGAACAGTGGGCATATTGTACCAGATGTTCTTCAGTGTCGGCGTCCTCATCCTCCCTCTGCTCGCCTACTTCATCACTGACTGGCGCTGGCTGCAGGTCACCATCACTGCCCCCTACATCCTCTTCCTGTCCTACTACTGGTGAGAGACTTTATATTCTTGGCTGTAGATTTGGTTGCAGTCATCGTCTGGTCCCTCGTGGCATTTTATATCTGTCTTTAAGTACTTTTCCATAAAACAAGCCAGGTCATGAAGGAAGAGCACATGCTCTCTGTCACATGCACTGAGACGTGATCTCAGTGTTTTTGAATTGCAGTGAACATCTCTCCTTCCGTTTGTTTATACATTATGAGACCACCACCCTTGGTTTTGATGTAAATGCAAGCTGTATCCTCCAACATCAGAGATTTTTCAGGCTGCAATTGGCATTTATTGTGGATTACTGCTCATTATTAAATAGGTTGGCAGCTCAGAGGTGAACCACGAACGCTAACCATTAATGACAATGTCTCCTGTCCCACATCCAGTCAGAGACTTTTGTCGCATGTCGTTCCCGAACTCTCTCATTTCTTGTCATTTCTGCTGTAGCATGTTTTGTCATTCTTTTAACATGTATAACATGTCAGAGAAGTATGAAATATTGGCCCATTAAGACTACTTGTTAACCAGCAGTCACTCCCAAGCCATTTCCGAGCTGCTGATCTGCTGCTGCTAAAATCCTGATTTTATAACTGCGATGTCATCTGACATGATCACCAATCACATAAGTGAATGACAAAGACTGTGCTGCGATTTCAGCTGTATTTACTGTAAAATTGTCCCTCAGAGAGAAAGTCAGGAGCTCATTCACATCAGCTGCCATGTGGCCAGCACAGAGAGGTGTGCGGAGGGAAAGCCCGACCTCATGCTTGAGGGGAAATACTGATCAACTCTTCTATGGAAATTAGCTTAGGTTTGTCCAAGAATTCACTAAATTTGTTGCTAGGTGCTTTTTGGAAAAAAAGATGCTAAAAATGCTGTAACCTTATCACTATGTCAGACCAATGGTTTAACTTCATCACTCAGTCAGTCAGTGAGAGATCTGTTTACAGGGCTGGTCCAGCCAAAGAAAGCAGTTTGTCACCTTTGATTTTCACTTCAGCTATGATTCACCTCAAGAAACACATTAAACCAAGAAACAGACAGAGGCCAGATTGTCCATTACCAGCAGACGTGTGGGTGAATGAGATTTTTGTGTCTGGGTGGTTTTGTCTGCCAGGTTAATCCCAGAATCTCCAAGGTGGCTCATCTCCCAGAACAATTCCTCCAGAGCAATGGAGATCACTGAATCTATGGCAAAGGAGAACAAGAAGAAACTCACTAGGAACTTGGAGGTAGATCGATTCAACAGTTTACTTAACATCATAATTCTGCTAAAATATCAAATCAAGGTGTCAAATCCGTTCCTACATTACTGTCACGATCCTCAACTGGATCATAATTTCTTCTTTCAGACACTCACTGATGAGGAGGGTGACTCCCCCTCTGCCTCCTTGCTGGACCTGATCAGAACCCCAAATATGAGGAAACACACTTTCATCCTCATGTTCAACTGGTGAGAAGATCACCGATTTGTCGGCCAACCCTTAGTCTAAAAGTAGACTAAGAGAGACACTGAGTCTGATTGTACCTCTGTAGGTTCACCAGCGGTGTGGTTTATCAGGGCCTCATTATGAGGGTGGGGATAGCAGGAGGAGACGTCTACATTGACTTCCTCATCTCTGGCCTGGTGGAGTTCCCTGCTGCCTTCCTCATCCTCTTCACTATTGAGCGTATCGGCCGGCGTCTCCCCTTCGCCTCCGCCAACATCGTCGCCGGAGCCTCCTGCCTCGTCACCGCCGTCATCCCTGACAGTGAGAAGAACTTCTTATTCTTAGATTGTTTTACTCCGTCTTTCGCTTGCTTCTTAGGGAGACTGCTTTTGGAAATAATTACAGGCGTAATTATTCCTACTTACTTACATAGGTACTTAATTTTTGAAATAAGTTCACTCATGAGACATTTTGCATTGTTTCACCATATTTATTTGTCATAATTTCAACAATTTGTACGTCTACTGCACCTGGATTGGTTATAGCTTTGAACAAACAAGTGGCCCAAACAGAGGGTGACTTTCCTGACAAAGTATTTCCCAGTATTTTCCCAGAAAAAGCATAAAAGTCCAAAATTCCACTGATAAAATTCAGCTAATTATTACTATTAATTGTGTCCCTCTAAGATTTGACCTGTGTCATTGTATCCCTAGTAAAATGTATGATTACATTAAGTCTAAACGTTGTGTTTTTTTAAGAGAGAGTCTAGACACACCTGTAATGCAACTCTGTCTCTGTGCTGCAGGTATGTTCTGGTTTAAGACGGTGGTGGCCTGCATCGGTCGGCTGGGTATCACCATGGCCTTCGAGATGGTGGTGTTTGTTAACACTGAGCTCTACCCGACGTTTGTCAGGTGAGGTCAGTTTGATCATCTCTACTTTCACATTCACAGTACAGTGAACAGTGTATACAGTAAATATGCAGTGTGTTTATACGGTGTTTAACTGGATACAGGAACCTGGGAGTGTCAGTTTGTTCCACTCTGTGTGACGTTGGAGGCATCGTCGCTCCGTTCCTGCTCTACAGACTGGCTGTCATCTGGCTGGAGCTGCCACTCATCATCTTCGGTGTGTTTTCTACCTGTTATTGATGATTTTTATGACGAGTGAAGGGTTGAGTATCTGAGGCACTTTTCTGAATGTTACTTCACTCAGGGTTTTAAATCTTCACATTGTATGTCACACAGGAGTGGTAGCGCTCATAGCTGGAGGTTTGGTGCTGTTGCTGCCTGAAACCAGAGGAGTTCCTCTCCCCGAGACTATTGATGATATCGAATTTCCTAATAGGTGAAACATTTCCCAAAACATTTGATAAAATTTATCACACAGTATTATTTATTCTCATTGTTCCTCATCAGTGGTGAATGAAGTATTCAGATTCAGTTTTTATTAAAGCAACAAAAGGAAGAATGCTCCATTACCAGTAAAAGCAGATGCAGATGCAAATGCAGAATGGCCCTTAATCATTATATGTACTATATTATTAGATTATGAATTATGCTTTTGTACTAGTATAGTGTTGGATAGTCACCTCTGTAGCAACACATTATATAAGCTGATTATATTTTTTTTTAGTAAGATGTTAAATCTTGTAAAACAGCACAAGATTTTTCTCCGAAGTTAAGAGCAGAAGGAGTAGCGGAAAATACAAATACTCAAAGAATGACAATAATTGTACTGAAGTATGTGTATGAGCAAGTTACTTTCCACTACTGGTAAAAAATATTATGGCAATACATTATTATTATTATTAGGTTTCATTTAATAAAATAATTTAAATGAAACTAATTTTGGAGTGAAATTACACATCATATGTCAATTTATTTCTTTGTTAACAAGGTATAAGTGTAAGAAAGATTATGTCAATATAACAAAATCTTAATGATTGATTCACCACTATCATCTAAAGAAATTGATGCAGGAAGCTTTTTCTATTTAATATTAACAGAATATGTTTGTTTCTGCTCCCAGGAAAAAGGAGAATCCACTGGAGAACCAACAAATGAAGAAACTTTTAAAATCAAAGCTGACAAGCAATAAGGAAACAAGAAGTGTGTGATGCATGTGTTTGTAGATAGAGTTCTACTCGTGATACAATATGTTGCCCTCTTCTAAAAACAATTTTTACATTTTCTATAAAGCATGACTTCCCCATTTCCTTTGTATCAAGTTTTATTCTTCAGCTCTTACAGAAAACACACTTTTACATCCTGAAACCAGGAATATGCTCGGCTCATCGTGCTCTGAATTCACTGTTTTACAGAGGAGCACATCGTTAACATCAGATAACGGCAGACAGCAAACTTAAGTAGTGACGTTGGAACAGTATATACATGTTAATATATCTAAAGCAAAATGAACCACTTTCCGTGACTTGTCACGTTTGAAGCTGTTTGTTTTCGAGGCGGATCGTTTTTAATTGGCTTTAATGGTTTTCTCGATCCAGTCGACAAACTTGGAGACTCGAGCGTAGACGCCAGGTTTCATGGCATTGGCGCATCCCAAACCCCAGGACGTGACGCCCTGCAGGATATACCTGTTCTGAGCATTACACACCAGAGGACCACCGCTGTCACCCTGCAGGGAGAAACAAACACAAACACACAGTACAGTAGCAGAATGTATTTCCAACTTGTTTCACACATTTGGTGCATCAGATGGTTTTCAATCCGAGAAAGGTTTAAGGGTGGTTTATACTTGTTGTTTGTAGTGTTATAGCCAATATGAGGGGCCACTGGGGGACCCAAACTAACCGCTGGTGTTAAAGACATTGTGTCAGAAAACAATGCAGTTCCCATAGTTTGTGAGTTTTGAATACCTGGCAGCTGTCTGTTCCTCCCTCGATGTTTCCAGCGCACATCTCGTGGTCTCTCACTCTGCCGTTCAGATAGGACGGACGGTTACAGATCTTGTTCTCGATCACAGGGAAACCAGCTTCCTTCAGGGTGCCGTCACCTCCCGTACCTGCAACACACCTTCCTGCAGTTAGCCACCTATCCTCCTCCTCATCCTCATCATTCACACACGATCGTGATCATTATCATCACGGGGTTCCCTTCAGCTGGGAGCCTTTGAGAGGTCTTTGTATTACAATTCACATTCACTGTATTTGATCACGTGTTTTAGTGTGTTTCAAATATACTGTTACACTGAAAGATATTTAACTAATCTCATTTAAAGGTGCACTCTCAGCCTGTTAAACCACCCAGCTCGCTGTTACATTTTTTAAACTTGCACCTGAGTGTCAGAGTATTTGCTGTCTCTTTAATTTGAATCAACAGATGGGATTTGGTATATTTTTGTCACCAACTGGCACTTTATAATCCACTATAGGTTCAATTATATAGCTGGAAAAAGATCTGATCTAATAGCTGTTGATGCCATAAAAAATCTGTAGAGCAATCTAAAGATGAATTTTTTGCCCTTATTTTGATTTTGATGTTTTTATCATAGCAGGGAAAAATCCTGCTGTTAGACAATAAAAGTCATTATAAGGTAAATATGGAATAAAGCTCCAGTTTTAACACTAAATGAGGACCTCATACATAACCTCTGAAGAAATGAGGACCATCCAAAAATGACCTCATTTTCTAAAAATGACCTCACAGTCAGAGTTTAAAACTCAAATTAGTCCCCTTTAAGATAGCAGCACAAGAGCAAACACACACACACACACACACACACACACACACACACACACACACACATACACATGACATACTGTACCTTGCGTTTCTCCCCATCCGGTAACATAACACTCTGTTCCACTGGCAACAATAAAGTCCCTCTCTGGCAGACAAGCTGGCAGGACTTTGTCATTTATCAGTGCAGGGCTGAAAACACATGAATCCCACACACACACACACACACACACACACACACACACACACATCCACAGGAATACCAGTTTCAGTCACTGTAGAAAGACTGCTACTAATGATGATTATTTTATATACTGGTGAATAACTCAATCTATAAAACATCATAAAACAATAACAACTCCACATCACAAGCTCAAACTGATGTCCTCAAACTGCTAAGTTTAACAGTCCAAAGATACAAAGATATTTAATTTACAGTGACATAAAAGCAAAAAAACGAAGTCTGAAAAAGCTGTGACCAGCAAATAAATCTTAGGTTTACTTAACGAATGACACATTATTAATACCTTAAACCCGTAGCCACTCTTTCTACACCTGTCTTCTCTTCATCACACTGCACTGTTGCAGTAAACTGTAATGGAGGAGGATTTACCACTCAAAGTCGGTCACGTAAGGGGAGATGTCATGATTTATCAGGTGAATGCATGATTAATAGTGTGTAGTATTCGTGTGTGGTGTGATTTCGCTTTTTTCGGTAGTATCTTTACTGTGGGGATTGATTCAGCTACCTCTAGTTACCAGTTGGTTTTTGAGGGTAGGTCAGTAGGTAAGACATGCTAACAAAATTGTATCTCACATCAAAACAAATGAACACACTGTTCACACAGTGTTCGCACATTTCCTTACGCTTTTACTCATGTGTTAATGGTTTTGAAAAGGAAATTAGAAACAAGACACTATAGACTCTTTAAATGCCAAGTATCCACAGTTTGACCAGCCTGCCTAGATGCTAAGCTAAGATTGGCTTATCGCTGATCATGGGGAGACGCTTAGCGAATGGTCAGTTGTTTCAGCCCTAAACAGTATAATCTGTAAAATTCCAAATATTAGTAGTGCCGTATATGCAGAAGTAATAAAGGAGGGGTAGCTGCACTAATAGTATCATTGTATTAGTATTTGACCTTAGAAGTGGTGGGGGAATGATCTGTCCAGATCTCACCTCTCCAGTTTGAGCAGAGCGATGTCAGCCCTGTTGGGTCCCAGCACCAGTTTTTCCAGTCTCCTTTCCTGCTTGGACATCTCAGTGGCTCTCTCTGTGTGGATGCCCAGCAGAATCTGGTAGGCTGAGGGCCGCTTAGACCTACAGAACATAACATTTATAAACATACACACCAGTTATCCGGAGGTGGTGCTATTGCAGGATTTGGTCTTTAGATGTTTTTTGTTTATAGTCTCCCTGACCTCTCCAGGCAGTGTGCAGCAGTGAGGACCCACTGAGGGTGAATGAGAGTTCCTCCACAGAAATGGACTCCCGTACTGGTGGACAGAGACAGGCAGAAATGTATGTAAGTAGGACAGAATAAACACACCAGCTTTTTAGAGTCAAATATTCATTTCAAAAGTAAGAATAAACTAAATATGCTGATTAAACCCCATGAGATGCAGCATCTTGGTTTAAAAAACATGCAAATTAATAGACAATGTTTAGTACAATTGTCTGTATAGTCTTCATTTTTATAACTTGGTGGATCAGCTGGTGGATCAACCTCCCTTTGAGAGATGGAACAATTTCACAAGTCTATGTTTCAGTAAAGACTTTTAGTGATAGTCAAATTGTGTTTTTTCACCCTGAATAAAACAATGAAAAAACACAAAACTGCAAAATTAGAATGATCATTTTGTCATTTTGGTTCATGTCTTACACTGATAACAAAAGAGGTTTGTGCTCTGTGAAACATGGCTTTCATTTTGAAGATTAAAATCGATGTCTAAATATCTAATATCCACTTCTTTTACCAAAATATTGGTCATTTTTAGCCCCAGTTTCCATGTATTAGCATACATCCAGGTCACAGAAGTAACAGTCAGTAGCTGTAAAAGATAATTGAAAGACATGCTGAAGGTTTTTCAGAATCCACAAACACTTCAAACCATCTGGATGAAAAAATATTCCATCTGCTGAATCATAGAAAAATATTTTGAACCTGTTTCCCAAGTTATGACTTTCCTATCCAGCTAGCCTCCAGGTAGCCATCTTTGTTTTGATTCTCTAACAGAGGTAAACCTTTGGAAACAGGTTAAAAAAATTTTTTTTTATCATTTAGTTGAGGGGTTGTTTTTCATCCAGATGAGGATGAAAAACCCAATATCACTTTAACCTTTACATCCTATTTTAGTATTGTTGTACTCACTTAGTCCGGAGGCTGATTTGCCAGGGCCATGAGTGAGCTTTGGACACGCAGCCTCCAACAATACGACCGAAACAACGCTTTGGTTTGGTAACCGGCGTCCCACAATTCAATCCCGCTACAAAGAAAAGTCCAGTCATGAATTCTCACAAGGGAATGACACTGAATTTGCTTAATTTAGTAAAAATGTACCTGTGTCAGGTTATGGATCAGAAAACGTATGTGTTGGATGAACAATAAATTGATAATTTCATATTAAATCCTTATAATTAGTTGGAAGGGAATTGTAAAGTTTGACCTGAGGGTGGTGCCAAAAAGGCCTTGTTAAATCAAAATGGTTTATCCTCTGTACAGTAGCTAGTTTAACACGTCAGACTCGGCAGCTCCACATTGTCACAGTTGAATCAGCTTTCGTCAGTATAAGTTGTAGTTTCCAGGCCATGGTGTACTTAGACTCAGCTGTGCTTGGAGCTGAATAAATTCTAGATTCGGGCTGTAACTAACAATTATATCCATTATCTACTAACCAAAGTCAGTAGGATTCATCCGCTGGGGACCATGAACCAATATTCTAAATTTCATGGATATTCATAGATTAGTTTTTGAGATATTTCACATTTAACCGAAAAACGGACCTAGAGACAATGCAGTTAGAGTGGTTAAAAAGTTAAATAAGGAATTGTAATGAGCTGCACATTAATAATGTTCACATACCACAGTCAGGGATCTGACAGTAGTCCCATTTCTTGTTCCTGTCAGTAGTGTAGCACCACGGTCCGTTCACATCGTTATCTGGGTTTCTGCAGCTCTGACAGTCACAGACGGAGAAAATGAATGAACCAGAAGATAATGTTATGACTCTGCCAGCTTTTAACATTAAATTGTTTATTATATCAAGAGCTAATAGTCCAAACTCCAGAAGTCTACAAGTTAAAATGGATCACACTTACATTTCCATCCAGGCCCTTGGTAGGGTGAGTTTGTGGGGTAAAGCTGTTGTGCTGGTGAGGATTCTGAGCGCTCCAGGCCTGGCAGGTCACACCCAGAATGGTGATGGAGGTTGGACCCCGGTATGTTTCTCCATTTCCAACTTTGCAGTCTAACACAGCAACACAAAAAGAAACAAGTGGGTGAATAAAAGATTTTAAAACATCAAAACTGATCTTAAAATCTGACAAATACACATTTAGAAAGTTGATTTACCTTTCACTGGTGGGGTCTGGGTGGCGGTGGAGGGGGGCCTGGGGTTTGGTACAGCAGATGGTATTCCTGAAGCATTGGTGGGGCATTTCTCCAAGTTGCAGTACTCCCAGCGGACGCTGGGATCTGTAGTGTAACACCAGGGAGCTCGGTCTCCATCTGGGTTCCTGCAAAGATTCCTCCTGAGGTCCCTGTTGAAAGAGAAGATCTGGAGCGTCAGGGCAGCAGGTACCAACAACCTTTGTTTATTATTCCTATAGTCAAACCAGGAAAGGTTTCTGTTATATACAAAACCACAGTTACCACCAGGGGACAGGATTTGCCTCTGACTTTTAAGTAGCTGTAAGAAGTGGAGAAGTAGATGCTGTGTAACCAGATGTAATGTTGGGCTTATCCTGACAAAATATTCTACAGGTAATGTCAATTTTGAGAGAATGTTATGCTAAATATGCCATGTTGATCTACAAACAAATTTATTCCGTTTCTACGCAACTAGACACTTTCTTGATGATTGCAGAATTGAAGCATCGTAGCATTTGTTTTGGTCTGACATCCTGGTGGTCTATTGTCAGTGACGATGGCCTACAGAACCTTTAATTGTTGGTTTTAGTCTTCTCATTGGATTTGTTGTCAATAACAAAAATATAGACTATAACCCTAACTTATCTTTAATATAATATAACAGATAGTTCTGACCAAGTAATTTGACTTGACGAGAGGCATGTATATGTATATACATGTATATATTCCAGATATAAGTGTAGCGTACATTCCTGGCCTGGCATCAGTCACAAGCCATTAAGGAAGTTCATTATAAGGACATGCAGAGTTACGGACCCACAATTGACACTTTGCGACTCTTCCCATCATCAAACTATCAAATTGATAGGAAACAGAGACAAAGGACCCCTCTTCTACAAACAGACCATGCTTTTAGCATGTCCGAACGACACAGAACCAGAACCAAAGGTCAAAGGGTCAGCTCCAGAGGATTAACCAATGGACACCAGGCAACTCGAGAATATAGGCAAAATCTCCAGTTTGTAACAATAAGACTTTGTCTAATGATATTTGATTGTTTCTTGTATAGAGCAAGTAACAACAAAAGGACTGATTAACACTAAGGTGTGAATCCTGGCCTCTCTGTGCCATGCATGAACACACACACCAACCTCCCTTCCTCTGTCCCTCTCTAGATAAGAGTCATAAACTACAACCCACATTCCAATCCTGGGTAGTGACCAGCAGAACTCTCTTCACAGACACAGATCTGAGGAAGAATGTAAAATTAAATATCTAGCTGTTCTGTAACTCATGAGATGTTCCTATGCAATAGGTTAATCCCAAACTTCTATCCCATAGAATGTTTGAAATGTAACATGTAGATTTTAAGACAATGTCCTTCATGTGACCATACTGTCAGCATCCTTCACACAAGGTAACACACACTACATGACATCCAGCATGTCCATATTATTATTATTACAGTCAAAGAACTGCTGTGTAATCCACATTTATAGACTATTAGCTTTGGGAAATGTTTATATTGTTGTTTGATCAATTAACCACTTGTATCATGATTAATTCCAGGTTTGAAGGATGTAATATGAAATCAACACTCCTATTACTCCTCTCTGCCATTATTAGTGCAAGTAGTTTTATATGTTATTTCACTTAATGTTTTGTGGTCATGGTGGAAGACGGATGTGCGAGTTTATAAGTTTTTATAAGTAAACTATAGAATTAAATTATTCCAAAGTTCAGTGGAAAATTACTCTCTTCTCCAAGTGGAAACACGGGAGAAGACAGGTGACAACCCTGAAACATACATCGGCCCCCAGAGGATAAAACAGTCGTGATCAATTCACACATGGGTCACAAAAGTCAGAGAAGTGCAGAAAAGCCTGAAAGGGTCAGAGGTCAGATGTTCAGTTTGAGAAAAAGTCAGAGAAACCCAGATGACAAGAAGATGTGAGAAACGAAGCTAAAAGCTAGAGGCTGAAAAGCTGAAGCTAGAACTTTGCTCAAAGCTCAGAGTCCCGGCTCAAAGCCCGGCTCTGTAGCCATGTAAACTCTTAGCTCTAAGCTGCTAGCCACAAACTCATGGCTCTTAGTCATTTTTGCACTTTTCGCGTCTTTTATTTTTCTTTGCCACAAGCTACAAGTAACATGATTTTTGTCTACATGCGCGATCTTTTATTTTTATAAGCCAAGTCAAGACCAACTGAACCAAAGCAACAGAAGTGCCTCAGAGTAATTTTGTAACTTTTAATCATCATCAAGTTTTCCTTTTTGAAGATTTTGACAACTTTAGAGTCATCTGGTCAACGCCAGTCTCCTCTAAAGTTATCCAGCCAAAGTGAAGAGCATTAGAGTTTATTTCGCATCAACCCGCAAGAGACGCCGGCAGATAACATCTGCACGACCGCCTGCAGAGAAGCCGAGCAGAAATCAAGAGTGCCCGAGACAGAAAGTCTCCTGGCAAACTCCACCAGAGCTGAACCGCTGAGACACCGGCAGAATCCGTCATCGTGATAACGGGACACGGCCTCCAGGAGAATCCATCTAGATCCCGCATCTCCAGGGTTACCACGGCAACCACAGCCACCTGGCTTCCAGCTGAGGGTCTTCAGCTACAGCGCAACTCACAGTAGGCCGGTCTTAACACTCTGCTCATGACTGGGTTGATGTCGAAATATAGCAATATTTAATCATCAAACCTAATTCGTAGATGTAGTATCATTAGCTGTATAGTCATAGTGTATAGCCATAACATATTCTCTCCCACCATTGCCAACTCATCACACTGCTCATTTCATTATTATTTTCATCTTTATGATTATTACACCTTGCATTTACTCTGTAGATAGTAGTTTAGTTAATAAACTCCTTTATTTACACCCAGTCTTTGTCCTGTTGTATTCTTTTGACGTAGAGACTGGAGATCCATTGAATCGAGAAGTCATGGCTTCCGATATGAGATTGATAAATTTGGCAATGAAGTAATTCATTGTTGTCCTCCTAGAGGACTGGTGCCCCATTTCAACGAGAGTAAATTCTAAAATATGGCGTTAACACTACATAACATTTGAATGAAATGATGTATGGTCGTCAGAAGAGGATGAAGGGAAGGAAGGAAGTCTGGATACTTGGGTTGAGGATCAGCTAAAATGTCCTGTAAGCTTGAATTGAAAACCAAGGTTCAAATCTGCATTTGTTAATATAAACTGTATTAGGAGACAGTTGATGCTCACGCTGTGGGGTGGTTCTGTGGAGTTTTTCGATGGCTATGAGGACTCATGGAGCTCCAGATTTGACATTTTTTCCCGCTGATGGTCACTGATGTTATGCCACGGTAGTTTGACCCATCCCCCTCATAACAGTCTTCCTCTTCTGGGGGGATCATAGGATCATCTGTAGCAAGACACAAAAATATAGGCTAATTTGTTGATGCTACAGCTACAGCTGCAGCAAATGTCTCATCTCACTGCGCTGCAGAACAGAGAGGTTCAGGAGATCCTTTGTTCACACTGCCATCAGGCTATACAACACCTCAGCAGGAAGTGGACTAATCTAATTATTATTGTTTATTTATTATTAACTGTTTTTATTATCATCAACAATGAGCTAATGGACACATGAATTTCCCCCTCTATTTATCTTCACTTGAAGCAGAAAGAAAGGATATATGTTACTTCTGTGAGTCATTATTTCAAACGCAAGTCTTTGTTGAAGCCTCATCCTCTTTTCTAGTCTACCTCCATTACCACTGGCATTAACATTATTGTAACTGAGTAAGAAAAGGAGTTTTCATTTACTCATTTACTTCAATTAATCATTGCTTTGCCTAGTATTTTATCCCTTCTTTGTAAATTAGTTCGGTCTTCAAAGTGTATGAAGGAATCAGAAAACAACTGTAAATCTCATGTAGCAGTTTCAAAAGTGTACAACACCATCATTAACCACTGCTTTACCTGGTCTAGGTGCATTCCCACAGCTCGGCACCGTGCAGTACTCCCAGCGAGTTTCAGGGTCAGTGGTGTAACACCAGGGCATCCGCTCGTTGTCAGGGTTACGACAGTAGTTGTTATCTAGGCCTCTGACAAATAAATACACCGTCATAATGAAGGACACAAACAGAGATGAGGCCAGCATACTGTATTTGCTTGGGATAATGTTTCTGGTTCCCTCAAAGTTTTTTTGTATTTGCAGCACTGTTTATTGTTTTGTTTGTGTCGCTCTGTGTGAGTAGACATCTTTCCCAGGTACAGGAGCTCTTACTTGCAGGGGTAGTTATCTGGGGTGCGGTTGTGTTTGTGAGGTGTCTGAGCCGACCAGCTCTGGCAAGTTTTGCCAGTCTCTGTCACAGCAACTGTTCCTCGGTACGCACCGCCTTCACCAGTGGCACAGGTCAGCTCTGGGACGATGGTGGGAGGCTCGGATGCTGAGGGCAGAGGACGAGATGGCTTGGTTGTAGAACTCACAGTGAACATGTGGGCAACATGTCAGTTATATTCTTCTGGAAATTATGACAAAGTTTCTTGTATTTATTTGATTAGATCCTCTAAAATATATATATTAAACAAAAAAGTGGCAAACAAAGCAATTAATTCTTTACTGTCGTCTCACAACAGCAACAGAAAGACCTGAACAGCCGTATTATGTATGGAGGCTCCGCCATTTTCTTAAACTTTTCTTAAGTCATGCAATGAATGATTCTTTTCATTTATCAATTAATAGTTAACCCCCCAGTTTTTGCCTGATAAGTGATTTAATAAGTTATCAAAATTGTTGTAGATTTTTTTTTTTTAAATTACTTATCAATGTGTCTAATAATTATTCCAGCTCTATTTGTAATCAACAGTTTGTTGTAATTATAGCAACTCATAAAAAATATTCAGGAAAAAGTGGAAAAATTAGCTTCAATTTCAGTTTCTGTATTTTTAATAATATTCTCAATAATCTTGTCAAATGAATAAATAAATGATGTTAATGTGTTTTTGTCTTTTGTCCCACAGGTTGTGATCCAGGATCAGCTTGCCTGTTCAATGTTATCCTGTTGCAGGAAGGGGTTCGACGTCTTGCTCAAAGGTATTTCAGCAGGTATGAACACATTAGAAACTGAGTGCACACCTTTTGGCATACACACATTTTCCTTCATTCTCAAAAGCAGCAACCATATTTGCTGTATTGTTTGAAAATGCATGAATAAATTCTATTATTGCATGGCAAGGTATATTTTCATATTAAATAAAATTCCAATTCTATTACTTGCAGTAGAGGGAGCTTGGGCTGATATAAGGTTTTACAGTAATGAAATAGAAATAAAGTAAACATATTTAAACAGGAGGACTTACTGCAGCGTGGAATGGAGCAGAAGTCCCATCTTTTGGATGGGCTGGTGGTGAAGCACCAAGGTCGGGGGTCTCCATCAGGGTTTCTGCAGTAGTTCTCTTCAAGATACTTCTCCGGGAGACTAGGGTAAACATTGAATAGAACTCTTGTAGCTTTAGTTTAGCTTCTAGAAACAAGTTGTATGTGTTAAAATCATGAAACCCTCCTTATGGTTGGTCTATGAATTCAAGTGTAGCTCATGTAGTCTTACGCGCTGGGGATGTAGCCGTGGTTGTGAGGTTTCTGGGAGTCCCAGCGTTGGCAGGTGAAGCCGCTTTCAGTGGTGAAGATTTTTCCTCTGTAGTTCTCACCACTGCAGTGTATACACTCCTCTGTAAAGGAACAAGTACCGACATCAAACTGTTATCTGCTTTGTAATTAGTCTGCCTTGGCATCGTGCATGCATGTCGGTATTTATGTGACTAGAATGTCTGGTGTATATGCGTACAGAAATGTAAAATATCTAGGGTTGGAAATTACATTTCTCTATCCACCTCCTGCAACAGAAACAGCTTACAAGAAAATACAATATCCAATATAACACCACAATCTACACCATGCAACAGATTTCACATTGCTACCTTTTTCAAAGATAGTGTTTATTGCACAACTGTTTCTGCATTGCATTATATTGTCTGATGCTCCTGCAATTTTGTCCACCCATGTATTTTCCCATGCGCCAGCCATTTACTATACAGAGCTCTCCCAAGTCATGGGATTTCTGGAACATACATACATAGAGGATTTTACAGGCCTACAGCAGCAGGTTCTACCCAAAACTCCTCAAGACCTCAGGACTTGAGGGTAAAAATAGAAGAAATCTGGAAACTTTAAAGGAAGCTGTATTGTGCAGAAGAATAGGGAGTAATTTCAGATATACAGTAGTTTTTATATGAGCCTTAGCATTATTGTGGAATCATACCAGTGCAGCTGGGTACATTACAGTGTTCCCAGCGGGTGTTGGGGTCGGTGGTGTAGCACCAGGGTCCCCCACTGTCTCCATCAGGGTTCCTGCAGAAGTTTGAGTCCAGGTCTGCTAGGGGGTGGGACTGCGGTGTGATACTGCAGGCAGACACATTTAGGAAAAATGATATGAAAAGATATGAAAAGATATGAAAGGATATGACGTCATGTAAAATAACATGAGATGTGAATACGTACTTTGGCCTGTGTGGGTATTTTGATTCCCAGCTCTGACATGTCTTTCCTGTTTTTGTTTTGGACTTTGTCCCTCTGTAATCTGTTCCTAATCCATGCACACACTCCAGGAGGTATTCTGGACAAGACAAAGGACACTATCAGCATTACATGTTTGATCATTCACTAAAATCAGCCTGCTAATTAGGTTGAATATTTGCTTACAAAGTACAGTAATGTAATTATCATCTGTTAATCAAATTTATCAGACAATTCCCTGAGTGAATCATTTATCTGATTCCACTGAAGTGTTGTATCATCCCCAAAATCTGAGCGACAGTGGTGTTTAACTTGCAGTCCCTCTCTACTGTGTTTGCAGACACAGTCCAAACACCACGATCATGCAACATAGGCTAAACATTAACCACAGTGTGATGAAAACAAAAAGTATCATGTAAAATCTAAAGTGGAGCAGGTAACAAGTCTGTAACAAGTCTGTAACAGGTCTGTAACAGGTCTTTAACAGGACTTTAACAGGTGTCAAAATTGACAATAAATTAAAAAAAAAAAAAAAACATACCTTTTTTTTCATATAAACCTGCGCTGGTTCTGCGCAGCATCGTCTCTGTTTTAGAGTTTGCTGCTGCTGTCCAACACTCTTGATCCTTTTCAATATACATGAATGACCTGTGAGAACAGAACACAGCCAATGCAAGGCTTAAATGCTGAGCGCTAAATGTAGAAGAAGTTAAATTGTGACGTAGGTGTAAATGTAAAGTTAGTATTTCAAAAGGGTGAACTTGCTTGCATGTGAAAGATGTTTCACTGTTACATTTTTCGGCACACTGGGCCGCAGTGTTTACTGAATACTGGCGTTTGTTCAGCGAGAGGATCCATGCCCCTTCAGTTTTGGCGTAGCCATCCACCTCAGTACCACTCACTACAATCAGACACAAAAGAATTGTCATTGTCAAATATACGGTACATAGAAAATAAACATTTTCAAATGCTAAAATAATTAAAGTAATACAACAATGTATCAAGTAATAAATGGGAAACAAAATCATTACAACTTGTAACAAATATGTGTAAATGAAAGTATATCAGAATAGTAATGGAAGGTTACATGTGTAACTATAGTTCTCTGAGTTGAGCGTCTCGACACAATAGAGAACAAAAGCTATTGACAGGACAGTCAACCTTTTAAAATAAAAAAAACTCAAAAGAGTTGAGTAGTAAAGAAGAAAATACAATATGTTTACACACTGTATAATACATATACACAAACGTACATATATTTACAGTTTACATGTATGCTTCCTTGAGGAATTTTAAAATGAAATAAATACCAATTAAGATGTTTTATAGTCTTTACGATGTTTAAATCACAACTGTATTGATGCTCTAGAATCAGAAACTGTTGCTTTGATAATTTTCTAAAAACTGAATTTTGCCAGGGAGAATTGGATATTATTTATGAGACCCTCTACGAGTAGGAATTGAGAAACAGTTAAGAACTGTGCCACTTAAATTTTAACAGTGATGTAATAGTGTGCTGGGAAGCCCGCGATTTCAACCCTGAACTTCCCACCCATAGGTGAATCACAGATATTTAGATTAGGTCTCTGGGATTAAGTCTGTGCTCTGAGTCCTGTGGACTTTGAATAGCGTCAGAGGATTTGATGAAAATCCTATGACTTTTAAAACCACCACAGAAGAAGGGAATAGTGTGTTGAGATGAAGAAGAAAATTGGTAAATTGGCACACAAAACTAAATCTTTGTCCATGGACTAGTCCAGCATAAAAAAGTCAAAAGAGAACAGTAAGAATTAATGCAGAGCACCTCAAGGAGTATTTAAACATTTTAGGAAATACACTTATTAGCTTCCTTGTTGACAGCAATAAATCTGAAGCTGCAAATAGCAGTTTGATAGGAGGAAACAGTTAGTTAGCCTGACTCTATCTAAAAGGTTAAAGGTCCCATATTTTATACTTTTGCTGTGTTTTATTTGAAGGTTTTGATATCCATAAGAAGATATATGTGTTCTTATTTTGCAAATACAGTTTTAGTTTTACATTTCCTCTCTCATGCTTCTTTCTGGAGCTCTAGCAAGAGCAGTTCATTTTGTGTTGGTGTAACAGGTACTGGACTGCGGCAACCGTAAACAGCTATAAATATCCTGAAATACAGGGAAAAGAGAATAACACATGGAGACGTGGCTCGATTTAGTTGAGTCTTCCGCAGTTATGAGGAAAACCAGCAGGACATGCGCCCTCGCTACAGTCTCTGTGGCGAACCCTTATCTCACACTGCCCCCTACTATCACAAAAGAAAACCCTGCTACTGCAGTTACATCTCTTGGTTAACAAACCCTAAATGCAGACATAATATTAAATTATGGAGCACATTCAAATATTTACTTTCACAAATGTGGGCACACATTGGTGGACATCACATTGGCCTCTATTCTGATGATGATCATGTTTTCTGAGTGATGCACCGCATAGGTAACGGACTGTAGCCTACAGCTATAGGCAGTGTTGTGCTGTGAACGCCGTTCATTGAACGCGCTCATATTTTTTGTGAACGCTGAACTGAATGAATCAGTTTACAAATGGTGAATGTGAACATGAGAATGAGAGTGAACGCCACTCACGTTTTACGACAGTTTTACGGCATGCTGCATGACATCTCCATAGCATGGCTGGTGCTAGCGGTACAGTCGGTTTTGAATGTAACTCACATCTATGATCCTTCAGTGGTATACAATAATTCATTTAGTGTAGGAGTGGCAATGATTTGGGGCTGGTGATTGATGGATAGAAGGAGGTTCTATTGAAAAAAAAGTAGCAGCCGATTTATTTTAAAAAAATGGAACAAATGAACGTGAACTAGTTCATTTTTGGAACTGTGATTTATGGCACTTCATTTTCATCTGTATGAACTGAACTTTGAACTAGTTCATTTTAAGTGTGAACTGGCACAACATTGGCTATAGCTTAAAACTCATCAGTAAATGCAAATGTCGATGGTCCAGCAGACAGTCAAATTTGGACTGAAATGCTCAAGTATTTCTGAAAAAAATTACTTTAGCCACTGGTCTCTAATATTACTATAATCATATGGCTGTGCAATGACATATTGGCTTTCTGACATCCAATGATTGCGCAGCGTTTCACATGGAAATCTATTGTTTTACAATATGGGACCTTTAACAAATCTGCTTTCCAGCACCTGTAATGGTCACTAATTAAAATGTTGCATCTTATTTGTTTAATCAATATAAAACGTGAAGTGCAACAGGCTAGTTGTTTCTCCATGCTTCCAGTCTTCATGCTAAGCTAAGCTAACCATGTCCTCATCTAACTCATTTCACATATGCTTGATTATTCCTTTAATATTTGATATCAAGCCCCAATTTTTTTCAGGAAATATAAAGATGGCTCAAGTGGACCAACAGAACCATGTTGGACTTGCTTTTATAAACTTTTTTGCCATCCAGTACAGAGGTTTAGACATGCCAGGTCACTACCATTCAGCCCCATAAGTAGGTCAAATTGTTTATGAAGTAATGATACATCTCTTTTCCTTATTGTAGAGTGAAGTGAAGGCATAAACACGACACAAAAAAAGAATACTGTATGACCCGGGATTGAACCCTGGGGTACACCATAGGTGATATTTTCAGACAAAGATGTAAATTGAGAAATTTTATCCTGATGAAGCAAATTGGATTTGGAACCTTTAAGTCCAGACTGTTGCAACCCTAGATTGTCAGGCAGTTCAATTAGATTTATGTTTTCTTCAATCTATGTCTCAACAGCAACAAGAACAAAATCTATTTTTAGGTGCATGTGGACTTGTCTCTTAATATATCCTGACAGAGTTGTCCTAATGAACTACTTTCACAATGAAATGAAGCCAATCACTGTTACAATTTTTTCATATTTTATGGCAATTATATAATTACAGATTTATTCATAAGTATCACTCAAAGATGTCATTATGTCTTACCAGTGCAGATCAGGGCTCCCAGGAGGAAAGCTGCTTTGTGCAGGTCCATGGTGAGGCCCCTATACTAGCAGCTAATAGTCAGCTAAGTTACAGAGGTACCTCCTGTTATATTATTGGGCTCCTTTGGACGCGTTGGGAAGACAAATAGGACAGTTCAATCATTAGTCAATCATTGGCTGGACAAGGACGGCAAAAGAGCAACAGGTCAAAATCCTTGTTTATGGGAGATTCTGGGACACAAAGTGTTGCACTGCAAAGTCACAGAGTGTCATCCTTTCTGTTATGTGTTGAATATTATTAAATATTTTCTTCAGACTATGTACCGAGATGCACCCACTGACTTCTTTAGCTCTTCTGTTGCTTTTCTGCAGTTACAATAGATTTATGAAACTGATCATGAGCTTTGACCCCTTTCTGATATCATGTGACCTTTTCTGTTTTCTTATCAACAAGCCAGTTCTTTGCACATCCTTCTTCAGTATGCATGCATGTGCTGTGTGGTGTTAAAAATGTAATTATAGTAGGAGTGACAGGGTGCGTAATGAGGGGCATCTTTAATGGTAATGTGTGTCCGTGTTTAATAACGTCATTAATGTATTACAGACCCGAATTTCCTTCTGCTGGTGAATACTATGTGATCTAGAGCAAATTAGATCAATATATACAGTTAATCTTCAGCTAAAAGGGACCCATGTCCTGAACTGCAAATATATGATTACAAAATAACCTACTTTAGACTGCTCAGTGTGTGGTGGGGCAGAGTAACTACTGTTCAATTGTGTCACTTTCTATTAAAAAAAACTTCAACTTTAAGGCAGTTTTCAGTCAAATTTTCACCTGAGCTAATGATGAGATGAAGGTTTAACAGAGGAAGCTACAATGCAAAACCTATTCATTCACAGATTTGTAATCACGTACACCTGTTATCATACACTGTGTGCTTGAATTCCTACTGTATGACAGTTACAGAGGGCTTTACTTGAATGAGGAATAGTGTCACACTATAGTGTAACATCAGCATATTTATGAAAGCATTTAGAGAGAAGAGTTGAAATTTAAAGATCCCCCTCCAGACAAAAACCTTTGCTTTGAATAATAATTTAAGTGCAGTGATTTAGAAAAAATGAATTACTCATTAAAGAATCCAACATTTCTGAATATGCAAATATTGTTCACGTTGTTTGTTTGTGTTTGAGTGTTTTTGTACCAGAGGCTTTAAATTTCATCACGTTTGTTTGCATACCGCAACACGATTGGCTTCCAAAACAGTTGTCATCTTCAACTCACATTTACAATGAGCAAAAAAATGTTTGTTGCAGCTCCTCAAACGTGAGGATTTATGGCATTTCATTGGATTTCTAATATCACAGTAATCTGGATATCTTTGGGTTTTGGACTGTCGGTTGGACAAAATAAGAAGTTTGAAGACACCACTTTGGGTTCACTTAAGACATATTTTTAACCAAACAGATAATCGATTAATTGGTAAAATAACAAATTCATTGCTAAATAAAATAATTATTAGTTGCAGCCCTGGTCCAGTAAGTGTATCTTCTCAATTACCAAGTGCAGTTTTGACATTCTTCCATAAATTTGCATTGTTTTATATTTCTACACATATACATATCAGACTGAAATATTATACTTTTTACTCGACTACATTTATCTGACATTTATATCATATAATCTAATCCACCCAGTAGAACTTTAAGTAAATAAAATTCGTTCTATATTGACAAACAATATTAAAATGCTTTTACATGTATTTGTTAATGATAAAAAGTTGCTGTTATATTCTATAACACTTTGGAAAGAGGCATTCTGCATAATTAGTGCTGTTCATTCAGGTATGTTTAATCACCTGTTAAATTTTTCCTTGCTGCAACAATAAATTAACAGTCTGCCCATGTTGGTCCCCTCCCCCTGGAACTTAATCTGAACAAATGAGACTTTCTAATACCACGCAATGGCCTGCAGAGGGTGCTGTTGATCATCAACTTTAAGTAGATAAAAAAAATATTCCAGCACCTCTCTAAGTTAACCTGAAGTAACAATGAGACAGAGGTGGATGATACTGACAAAAAGACACCTCGCCATTGCTCCACACGAAAAGAAAGTGAAGACAAAATAATTACATTATAGTCCTTAATGGAAGATAAAATGATACATCCCAAAACTTCAATTGAGGGCTTACAGGATACAGTATAAGGCACTTTAAGACACTGTGCCTGTAAACTGCGGGTGTGATTGGCTTGTGATTGGAGGGACCTGTGATGTTCAGCTGCTCTTTTTCAATGATACACCCCGTTTCAACCAGGAAGATAAATATGAAACTTATATGGTTTAAATTATTAATGAACTTATTTAAGTGAGCACTCCTAGCAGAGGGATTCTCGACCTGACCTCTTTTTTTAAAAACAGTTATCTCTCTGCCATACGGAGCCACCAGCATAAAAATTGCTGAAAGCAGCTTTAAAGGAACATTTCGCCATTTTAACATTAACTTACAGGAGAGACGTTAATAACCTCAATTTAGGTTTGAAGATCACACATTTTTAATGCGAAGGTTATATAACAAACGGATGGGGTGATATTTTACAGACATGGATGTTTATCATTCAGGAACCAAGTAAAAAAGATATACTTTTGGAATTGCATTATGGGAAGTGTGCAATAGGATCCATTGGTTTTGACGTTTTGCCCTTAGGGATTAAAAAGTAAAGTTCCCCAACTCCATGGAAATGCAATATAAAATGGAAATAGTCACACAGAATAATATACCAATAACAAAGGTTTTCAAACTTAAAATACATATTTTTTCTGCTTTTATCAGAGACAAAAAGAGAGAGAAATATGCAGCACAGTCTCCATCAGTTAATTATATTTTTAAACATAATGCATGAATCTAAGCTATAGAAGAAAGTGCTGACAGATTCTCATGCAAATCATGTGGTTGTTAATACCGCTTTGCAAGGAGGAGGAAAGGTTATGATGCCATTTAAAATGTTATTTATCTTTTTTGAATGTTGTGTTTGTAGGTCTGTCAAAACTGGATTTTAGTCACCATAAAAATCTGGAATTAAATATGATTGGCTGATTGGCTGGCAGAACATTTTTAATCATGAAGCTGACAAAAACCAACAACCTATAAGGACACATTATTGATTCAAGGTACACAGTAGAGTTTTTCATCAATAGTAGAGGTATGGAGCGATACTTTGATGATTGGTTCTCGTTAATGTCTCATGGACATACATGAGCACGGGGCTTGGCTTAGGACACATCGTCTTTTCTTTGAGTGGCCGTACAGGAAATGATATGTACTGGTCCCCTCACGTACATACACTCTCCTTTCACATACATGTATTGTCTCTCTGACATATGCATATATCTACATTCATATTCATGTGAAAGAGAATGTATGTATGTGAGAGCTTGCTATAAAAATTGTGTAGAGCTAGGACTAAAGCAGAACATGCCTGGCCCAACTATTATATAGAAAAGCTGATGCTACAAAATCATTTTCTTTATTTTATCGTATTTGTGTGTGAATCCGTGTGCTTGAATCTGTGGCCCTACCTTGGCCTCCTTGTTTGAAATGGTCTGCAAAAATAGATTTAGTTCAAAAGGGTCTTATAACTCAGCTTCGACCATTTTACTGAATGTAAAATCCTACAAATGGACTTTTAATGGACTCTTCTTTTTAAATAACATTCAAGTTACAATTTTACCTCACATTTCCTTGTCCTTTCTCTAAACAAAAGCAGATGGATTCTTTGAAATATAATTGTCCATTTTTTCCAGCTATAGTAACACAACTCGTTGTTTCACCGAGAGACAAAGTGTATCGGTTTTGTTCTATGGTCTTGCAAGTTGAAGGTCAGTCTCCTCCGTAAAGTGGGACCACAACAATACATCACACAGAGATGGCGAGCGAGAAGTGTAGGGTCTTTGGCGTCCAAGGTTCGCTGCACAATCAATATCCCACTGTCAGACCTTAATTTAGAAATGTCCCTTTCTCCTTAAAAAGCGAAGAATGGCTGCTTTCTGCGGCTGCTTCGCTCAGTGTTTCATGTCATTTTTCGTTGTGCAACTAAAAAGAAAATCAAATAAATGCTTAATTCCTATTGTACACAATATACACTATATTTCAGCTGGATGTGTCTCTAATGTCTTTAAACCTCTTTTGTGTTCTTCTTCCTTTTTCTTTACTTATCTTTTGTGTAATTACGGCAGATTTGGACTTCACACAGATTTTGTTTTTTAAAGAAAGGTCAAACAAAAACTCAACATCCACTCAGTGTATTGTTAATTGTAGTAATACAGACTGCACATGGAAAAGATTAACTGGTGACCACATATAAATTCTCCACTCCGAGTGTTATTCATTAGAGGATTGAATGTTTTTTTTTAAAGGCTTTGCTCTTCTTTCCTTTTCACTAGCAGGCATGAAAAGACAGTCAAATCAATTAATATCCATTTTTTAAGTTTTACTGACAGGACATGCAAATCAATGTTTTATCGCTCAAACACTGTTGAGAGCTTGAAACCAGAATGAAAGCTTCATATAAAAAAAGTAAAACCTTGAAATTATATCAAAAAAACTGTTGATATCAAAGCTAACAATGTCCCCTGAAATCACAATGAGTCTTAATTCAAATCTGAGAAAAGAAAACTCAGGTTTCAAGTTTCTGTCACAGTAAAATTTAACTCAACTTAACATTATGAAGTTAATTATAATATGGGCTCCACTTACAGTGCACAGAATATATAGATGTTATACATGTATTTGTAGAAAGACCGTCATGCGGAACAACATGTGTTGTAATATGCACACTAATTAAAAAATCGAGCTGTATAACGAGCATGGAGGTTCATTCCTCACTTTGGAAACACATTCAGACAGGTGACTGAAGGAAAAACCAACATAAAGGCCCAATTCCAAATCCGGCCCCTGTGCCCTCCTTACCCATTCTCACTCTATTTGCGTGTTCACATGGAGGGTCCGCCACATCAAGTGTCATTCAAACCCAATTACCCTAAAGGGAGGGTGGGTTATAAAGCCCTCCAACACCGAGTGCATCGATACAGGCATAGAAACCACACTCCCAG